GGAGACAATTCAGCGAGGATTGATGCATTAGAGAAGCAGATCGAGACGATAGGTTCGACTCTCACACAACTCGTCAGTCTTATCCATGGAGGTGGCAAACAAGGTAAATCTTCTTCGAAAAAAATTATTGAGTCCGATGTGGAGAGAGTAGATTCAGATTCCGACGAGGAGGAGGGGACCGTTAAGACTGCATTACATCAAGGGGGTAAGAATTCTTATCAGAACCTGAAGATTGACTTCAAGGTGAAGAATCCTGTTTATGATGAGAGTGTTAACGTCGAGAGGCTTGATGACTGGATCGAGCGGATGAAGACGTATTTTACTCTTTATGGCTACCTGTCGAAAGAGAAGATTGTGTTCGTGACTTTGAAGCTTTCAGGGAACGCGTTGACGTGGTAAAAATCCTACTGCAAGCAGGAGAAGAAGGCGGTGTCGTGGAACAAGTTTAAGGAGTTATTGAGGAAACAGTTCTACCGGTGAGATTCCTTGAAGAACGTTGGTACAAGTGGTACGACTCGCGTCAAAGGATCAATCAAACCATTCAAGAATACACCACGGAGTTCCAGCAGCAGACGATGGTCCTCAACATTGTGACAGAGGAATATTCCGTGTTTATGAAGTATATGACGGGATTGAGCGATCACATCCGAAAGGAGATGAGGCTATTCACGGTGGAATCAATTACAAAGGCGAGCGTGAAGGCAATTGCCATCGAGGGTAAGCAAAAGAAGGGCAACGAGGCTAAAGGAGACTCTAAACAGACGGGAGGCGACTCAGGCGAGTCTAGTGGTTCTCAATCTAAGGAGGAGAAGAAGAAGGGTGATCTAGGAAAAGCAGGGCTGATTTGTAGTCACTGCGAGAAGACAGGGCACACAGCTGATCGGTGCTGGGAGAAGTATCCCCATCTCATGCCAAGAGGGTTGAAGAAGAAGGAGGAGAAAAAGTCATACATAATAGCTCAAGGTCCGAAAGAAGTCTCGGGGATGACAGAGCCCAACAGCAGTCTTAATCTTATGACGGGGAAACAGACCACGAAAGAGGACGACGACCCGATAGAGCAACTCTTTGTTCTTAAGTTGCAAGTGAAGACTAGTTTGGTTGATGCCATTGTTGATTCGGGCAACGAAAAGAATTTGATATCTGAGGCATTGGCGCAGAAGCTGGGTCTGAAAACGATCAAGCATCCGAAGCCCTATCTATTGGGGTGGATTCAGAAAGAGGAGAAACTGAGTATAGTTGATTAATGCACTGTCAGATTTGCGCTCCACGAGTCGTATATTGATCAGGTCACGTGCGACGTCGTGCCATTGGATGTTTGTCAGATTATACTGGGCAATCCGTACTTATGAGATAGATATGCGATCTATGAGAGGCGGCCTTAGAAGTACACCTTCACTAAGGATGGTGTAAAGTTCATATTTCGTTCAGCAACTCTTCCGAAGGAGACAAGCTTGGGGACGGTGACGCGAGCGAAGAGACTAGTGAATGCAAGCAAAAAGTTTGTCTCGCTGTGCATTAGACTTCCAGAAAAGCCATCGACAAAGGATTGCAACTTAGAGCGAACGATGACTAAGACGAGATGCGGGACGAATGAGTTGCTTCTGATCGGACGTCGAGACCGGATTCCTAGCAAGGTCAGGTAGTGCAGAAAAGATGGAGTAGCTCGAGAGTTTCCTCAGCAAAAGTTCCAACTTGAATGAGACTTCAAGTTCTTAAAGAGGGGACCCATGATACGGGTGTATCTTCTCTTCGGAACTTAGCGATCATCATGGGAGCTTGAGGATAGATGATTCTCATGATAACATGAGAATAGAGGTGTCAAACAGTTATAAGGGAACACAGGAGGAATTCAGCCTGTGAGTCGACTCATAACAGTCATGAGTCGACTCATCAGGTTGAGTCGACTCATGACTGTCATGAGTCGACTCATCGCTGGTTTTTGAGTTTTGTCCAGTTTCTGACGAGTCGACTCATCTCAGTCATGAGTCGACTCATCGATGGTTTCCTGATTCGTTTGGGTTTCTGTTCACACGAATTCTTGTTGGTTTTGGGTCTGGTTATTTACCAAATTGCCATCCACGTTTGTACATCTATATAAAGGATTGTTTTAGGGTTTCTAAACAATCAGAGAGAGAATCAGATGATTGTTTTAGGGTTTCTAAACAATCAGAGAGAGAATCAGATAGATTCAGAGAGAGATTCTAATCTTTGTATTAGGGTTTAGTGAGAATTGAGAGTTTGTTCTCGATTCTAGTGAGATTGTGAGAGAGGGATTGTAATCTTTTCATACTCATAATCTAGAGAAGGTATTTTCCTTCGTCATATACTGAATTGTGCTTGTGTTTCTGTCATCCTCTTCTCAACCCACCTTTGATAATTTCGCGATCAAAGGTGCTTGCACGGCAACTCGTATCAAGAAAGGCGTAGAAAAAGGTAGAAGAAGACATTTTGTTTGGACTAGATTCAGAAGAAAACTTTATTACTGATTTCATTAGTTCATGAGGAGGGAGGGAGCGGGAGGGAGGTATTAGCGCGTAAAATTCTCTTTGATTTTTTGTCAAGCATCATGTACATTTATATTCCACTGTTAAATTGCTTTCCTCAACCCTCCTGTAGTAGTTGTTATTGACTACTGTTTGTAACTAATCTAGTCACTTTTCACACCCTTGTCGATTTTACTTATTCCTCTCTGCTGTCAGTTTGCTCATCCTGTTTTTTATTCTATTAATGGGGGAAGATAGGCATGTTATTGGGCCTTCTTAGCAGTTCGAAGCTAGCCTTATCTGATTGAATTGCATATGGAACTTTAACATGACATGCCTTCGTATGACAGAGGCCTTGTCCTAGAGCCTGATGAAGAGAATGTAGTTATAAAGGAATAGCATTCAACTTGAATAGCTTTTGCCTTCTCCTTTTTATTCTATTTGAGTAAAACATACACTACTTTTCTTTTCTTCTATTTCATGTACCAGCCCAATATTTTCTTGGATATGACCTCAATATATTCCTACAAAGTTTAACTCGTATGTTTTATGCCACCCGGGCCCATTAGCTGCAAGCACGGAAGCATGTTGAGATGAGTCAAGTTCAATAATTTTGACAAAATTTATGTATTAATATCCATCAAGAGATTAAAATTTATACCCTCATGTTGAAGCTCAGCAAAAAGTAGAAGTACCAAGCAAGGTTAAAAAAATAAAAGCACGCTCATAGTCTCTTTCCATGCTCTCATTTTTACTTACATACACGTAAGATTATAAAAACACACATACTGTACATACCTAAATATATCAGTTGGGTTGGACTTAGCTTATCTTCGAGTTGGCTGGGTAGCCATGATCCCTCGCTGAATCTTCAAATCTATTCATGTTTGAGCCCCATGTCCAAAACTAAAAGTTCAAAAAGCCAACCACGACCATCCTGATTTGTTCTCCTCACTACTCTTTCGATAGCGTCCTGAATAAGTGCATAGTACATTCAGTTCAGTTCTGAAACATTTGTTGTTCTTGCATAATACGAATGCTAAACTTTTGAATTTCTTAGTCACATTATATGATTAATCATCAGGAAGTTGCGTATCATTTTCTTATTTTATTTATTCTTTTACATCTTTTGAATAAAGGCCATGGTCCCGGTCTTCAACTTTTAATTCCCACAACCAATCCATGTCTTTGCCTCTGGCAGAGGCCTTTGCAGCTTATTGAATTTCAATCTAATGGAAAATGATCATCATGACTGTGCTTCGCTTCATTGTCTATAATGGATGCCTAGCTTCTTGTATGGTTACTAAGCCATGTTGTCTGTCCTTGACTGCCACAACAGTGAATTGGTGCTAAGGAATATCTCGCGGCCCAGGCATGTGAACGTGTTGGCACTATGTAAGCCGTGGGGAACTACTGAGTGCAACACATGGTTTGGCTCAATCCCCTGGCAAAAGTGACTAGTCAATGTTGGTAGTGGATTGAGCCAAACCATGTGTTACTTTTAATTCCCACAACCAATCCATGTCTTTGCCTCTGGCAGAGGCCTTTGCAGCTTATTGAATTTCAATCTAATGGAAAATGATCATCATGACTGTGCTTCGCTTCATTGTCTATAATGGATGCCTAGCTTCTTGTATGGTTACTAAGCCATGTTGTCTGTCCTTGACTGCCACAACAGTGAATTGGTGCTAAGGAATATCTCGCGGCCCAGGCATGTGAACGTGTTGGCACTATGTAAGCCGTGGGGAACTACTGAGTGCAACACATGGTTTGGCTCAATCCCCTGGCAAAAGTGACTAGTCAATGTTGGTAGTGGATTGAGCCAAACCATGTGTTGTACTTAGTGGGTCCCACGGCTTACATTGCGCCAACGGGTTCGCGGGGCCGGGTCGTGATGGAATAACAGCAGTGTTTTACTTTGGGATATTGGATATAATATATTATTTCCAGAACATTCAGTTTCGCAGTGCCATAATGTGATTATAGTGTTTCATTCAATCATCTCTCTGGTCTTGAAAGGTTACATTGAGATTTGTTTAACCAACTTCTTTTTTTTCTGTGAGAAAAAGACTTTGGATCTTTCAAATTATTCTATATTGTTAGTACTTTCATGTTTTTGGTATTTCTCATTTCCTTTCTCATATACAGTTGAATAGTTATCAAATTCAGGTGAGATCACTATGCAAGCTTTTTTGCTTGGTATTTGTTTCTTGTGGATGCCTCCTTCTAAGTTAGTGAAAATACATTTAGTTTGACACCATTCTATGAGGTTATGCACAACTCAATTTCTAACTTGCAGTGTACTCGATGCACTTTTCGCAACTAATCTCTTATCTCAGATTTGTTGTTTTGAATTTTCTCTATTGATTGATGTTTTATGTGATCTATGTAGCCTTTTAGTTGGATCTGACGGTTTCTCTTCTCCTTGGGTGGTAGAACACTGATCTATCAGTCAGAGCATATAACACAATTTATTATTTCTTGTCAATTTTAGTAATTCTTGTTTATTCTTTACAGGACCATGTACGAACTGATACTTACAGGACTGCTATTATGAGGCTTCAGAATTTTATTTCAGGCAAAGTAAGATTAAAAGGAAAAAATTGATCTTTATTGTTACTTACAAATAATTTTTTTTGGCTCTTGCCATATGCCCGAAGACATTCTATATGCATTCTTGTCACCCATTGAATGTTTATTTGTAGGTTGTAATAGACGTTGGCTGTGGGACGGGCATTCTGTCCATATTCTGTGCTCTTGCTGGTGCTAAACGTGTAAGATTTATATTGTAGGGTTTTCTCTTTATTCTGCATGTGTTAATATATGTAGTTAAAGTTGTTCGCTCTCCCTGCAGTTTTAAAACTCTATTTTATTATGGCGATGGATGATTAGTAACTTTAATGTCTTTTTCTGTTTGAATGACTCAATTAAGTCATCTTTTGCATTCTATCACACATACATGCATCTGATGTGTGTACTTTACTATTTTATTCCTGCCATATCATATATTAGATTTCCTTCATGCATGCTGCAGTCTTACTATTATATTTTATCTCTGAGTTGGGATCTGGTGTAGTCTATATCATATATTTTGGATACTGGTTCATCCCGTTTCCTATTTGTTACTCAGAATTTCAACTTTCTCTGCCATCAGGTTTATGCTGTAGAAGCCAGTGATATTGCTGTACAGGTATGTTCTTCCTTGGTTTTAAAAGTTCAGGAAAGTTGGATGATGCAATTATTAGTATACTTATTCTAATTGTTTTTAATCCTTACTTTTTACTCATCTAACTGCTATGATAAAGTTCATAGTTAAAATTGTAGTTGGTAAACTTAAGAGGAACTGAAAATGAAAAGCCAATTTCATTCATATGATGGAGTATATATAACTAACCAACATCCGTACTACTGGTATATTGCCAGTGCAATACCTTAGACCGACCCCAAAAGTTTGGGATAAATGCTTTGCTGTTGACTGTTGTTGTAAAATCTTAAACCAAAAGAAACTGAATGCACTCTATTAGTCATTGGAGAGCACTCATTTTCCAGGAATCTAACCACGGAAGGAGGAGTCCCTACTTGCCTTATTATGAATGAGAACTATTCTTCCTCGCAATTTTTTGCTGATGGCTCCCATCAATTTTTGCTGACTGGTTAAAGAAGAAACCTGACTTCTTTTTCTTGTCATAATTTTCATACTGTCAGTTTTCCATAATGGAGACTTGTTAAGGAGAAGAATACATTCCTTGTTTTTTTTTTGTTTTTTTTTTTGCAATTTTCATGCTGTCCCTTTTGTAGCGAAGTAGTGTTGTGACACGTGAAAAGTAGAATAATTGGGTGATAGAAAATTCTGTTCACAAAGTGGGAGTTTATCTCAAATGAATCATGTGGCTGTCAAAACAAGATTGTCACAAGAGGAGACTACCTCAGTCCTAGGAGAAAATATTATAATAATATGGGAATAGGGGATCCGTTGCCACTAGGTTCATAACTATGACACGGAATATATATACATGCACATATTAAGTTATTAACATGCATGCACTCACGCAATCTGATGTTCGCCACACGACTAAAATTCATAGCCACTTTGGACTACTCTCTGTTTGGGCGACTGTCTGTACTTTTTTCTATCTGCCCAGACAAGTATGCATTCTATTGTCTTGAACTCTGTGCATAGAAGATTTGCGTGCATCAAAGGTGTGTTTCCATGTCTGTACTTGCAACATGCCAGAGCATCAACATAGACGTCTATGAGCATTAGATGTGGCTTGGAGCCCAAAGACTTTGATCAATTGAGGCTACTTTTGTCAGTAGTTTAAAAGAATGAAGATATACTTATCATACTGCTTCCCCTTTGCCTTTGAGTAGGTCAAATCTTCTCAAAAAGGCTGATAGAACGTTAGTTGTCACTGGTGAACTAAAAATTTTGGTCATATTTCATAACGTTTTTCCTTTTACATAAATGATCTTTTTTTTATTTAGCCTCTAGTGGATGGAATTAAACTTGACTATTTTACAACTCTGAGATATCTCCAAGTTAATTAGATCAGCTAAACCCTTTCAAAAGTTTCAGTTTTATAGCTCGATTTTTAAGCAGATTTCAGTATTTATTTGCTGTAAATCTATTACGGATTGCTCTCAGTCCTAGTAGCACATTGACAATTTTTGAGATTTTTTTTTCAGGCTAATGAAGTAGTAAAAACAAATAATCTCTCTGATAAAGTCATTGTCTTGCATGGACGAGTTGAGGTAACCTTCTGCATACCGTATCTTCAATACTTGTAATTTTTCTCTTGCCTTTTCACTGTTTCTTATCTTTGAGTTGCAGTATTTTGAAGTGTTACCTTACCTTAAAATTTTAACATGTATAATATTGATATTTCCAAGAAGAAACTGTGAATCCTCTCATTTAACCATTACACCTAAAATAAGACAGCCTTTCATATACTTATATTTACATGCGCCTAATGTCTATATTGCGCACTAATAATTATTTAGTGCAACCTTTTACTTCTAAAACATTTTACTTTTTCAGTTGTTATTTTAAATTAACATAAGACATCGTTATATAATCATAACACATGACGTAGTTTAAAATCTACATTTCTCATACACTATAAAAGAGATAAAATAAATGGATTAAGGAAATTGTACTAAACAAGATATGATTCTTGTTATATTTTTGAAATATTATATTAGTTTATGATATTTAGTCTTTGTAAAGTAAGTAGTACATATAATACTATAATAGACATAGATAAGTCAATTGTAAATTAAAATAATTTACGAAATTGGCTGTAATGAACATTCATTGTTGGAAAACAAGCTTCGAACTCAATTGTAATAAGAACACGCTTCTAAGATTCCCAAAGTTGCAATTGGCTGTAATGAACATTCATTGTTGGAAAACAAGCTTCGAACTCAATTGTAATAAGAACACGCTTCTAAGATTCCCAAAGAATAAATGGATTAAGGAAATTGTACTAAACAAGATATGATTCTTGTTATATTTTTGAAATATTATATTAGTTTATGATATTTAGTCTTTGTAAAGTAAGTAGTACATATAATACTATAATAGACATAGATAAGTCAATTGTAAATTAAAATAATTTACGAAATTGGCTGTAATGAACATTCATTGTTGGAAAACAAGCTTCGAACTCAATTGTAATAAGAACACGCTTCTAAGATTCCCAAAGTTGCACTCAACTTTTTGCTCTAAGCTCTTACCTTAGACAAGGTCACATGGGCTGAAATTTTAACCCAAAATGCCGAATTGTTTGCTCACAATGCAGTCACTGGGGCTTGAAACTTCCAGCTCCTGTGTTCCGGCCATGTGGGTGCGGATCTGCACCCAGTGTGTACCCAATACAGATATAGGTCAGGGTAACCCATTTGCTGAAAACAAACTTCTAACTCAATCACTGGAGCATGTGTTTGTTTTATTAGGCTTACACCATGTTTTCTTTTGGCATCCAATCCTAGGTGTAAGATGTCTCATGCATTGGTCTTTTAGATATATTATGCTATTAAACATGATTAAATTTTCCTACACAGGTGTGATATTGTTGCTGATATACAAGTTAAATCTGATATCTTCAATGGCAGAAAATTTTGAAATGTCGAAGATTCAATGTTTTGTATTCCTTCAATTGCTTATCTGCAGAAGTTTGATGCATTTACATTTTAAATAAAGCAGATAGACCATGGTTTCATTTTTTATAGTGACAAGGGAAACTTTGGTCACTGGAGCTCATCTGGTCAGAGAGCATTTTTGTGTAAATCGTCAGTTTAGAATTTGAATTCAGATGGTAAACTGTTTGGTATTAACCCAAAACTGAAGCCTACAGTATCAACGAAACAGACATTGTAGAAAAAGATTGATAGATGGACCTTTATGGAGCTTAATGGTGGAAAAAGATCCATATAGATGATCCTAAAAGACTTGGGGGTATATGGTTATATTATAGTTGTCTTCATTGATTGAGCAGGTGAACACTGAATATGAAATAAAAATAAAGTTCACTTAATGTGCTCAGGATACTTTCTTACTTACCATATATTTTGCTAAAGTTTTGTTATTTATTGCTAGTTTGTTCTTTGCTTATCTAGAATAACATAGTATCTCCCTTTTTTGCTTCTTAATGGCAGCTATACGTAACTTTTCTGGACTGTTTTCCTTATCTAAATTGCAGTTCTTTCTAATGAATATTAATGAATGTAGGAGGTCACCATTGAGGAGAAGGTTGATGTCATTATTTCTGAATGGATGGGATACATGCTTGTATATGAGGTATGCCTACAATTTTCTGAATTTGAACTTAAAAATTTAACTATTGCATACAGAAAATATATGAAGTTGAATAGGTGCCCGAAGTGTTATCTTGCTCTGGAGATGCCGTAGTTAAAAATTCATTTTCTTATGACTTGCATTTTCTCCTGATTATCTGAAGTTTGGTGTAGAGTATGCTGGGCAGCGTCATTTTTGCCAGAGACAAATGGCTTAAACCAGGAGGGCTAATTCTTCCTTCGCATGCAACGGTAATAAAATTTTCCTTCATTTTACTGTTATTATTGTTATGAGAGTTCATATGTAGGAACTTGTTTGAGAGGTTTGGACTTGCCAGTTAACTGTTATAATTTCATGCTCTGCCTCACTTAACAACAGTGCTGATACAGGAATCATAGTTTTGATTTTGGAGTTCTGATATGTGTCATGTAGAGAATAGAGAAAACCCTAATTGTTGTATTGAGAATAACAAAAGAGATATATATATAGCCATACAAATAGGGTTAAGGTTAACGGGTAACAGCCCATTAACCCAATACCCACTGAAGATTTGTGACGGCTAGGGTTTCATGCTCTGATACCATGTAGAGAATAGAAAAAACCCTAATAGTTTATTGAGAATAACAAGAGAGATATATATAGCTATACAAATAGGGTTAAGGTTAACGGGTAACAGCCCATTAACCCAATACCCAATATTTAACTTAACACTCCCCCTCAAGCTGGAGTATAGATGTCTACCATGCTCAGCTTGTCACATATAGTAGAGAACACCTTTGAAGAAGTAGCCTTGGTAAGAATATCAGCAAGTTGTTGTGAGGACGGAGTGAATATGAGAGATACTATCTTCTTCTTCCAAGCATCTCTGACAAAATTACAGTCAACTTCAATATGTTTTGTCCTCTCATGAAACACAAGATTCTGTGCAATATAAATGGCAGAGTGGTTGTCACAATGCATTGGCATGGGTCCAGACTGAACAAAACCAAGCTCTGTCATAAACTTTCTTAGCCACACCATCTCACAAGCAGTGTGAGCCATTGCTCTATATTCGGCCTCTGCACTAGATCGTGATACTACATCTTGTTTCTTACTTCTCCAAGTCACAAGATTACCTCCAACAAAAGTACAAAATCCTGAGGTTGACTTTCGATCTCGCATGTCTCTTGCGTAGCCAGCATCAGAGAAAGCTGAAATGTGAGTATGCTCATGCTTCTTATATAACAATCCTTTGCCAGGGCAACTCTTGACATATGCCAAAATCTTTAGAGCTGCTGTCCAATTAACCTCTCTAGGTTTGTGCATAAACCTGCTCAATACACCTACTGCAAAAGTAATATCAGGTCTGGTAACTGTTAAATATATTAGCTTCCCAATTAGTCTCCTATATCGTCCAACATCATCTAGGAGAGATATATCATCACGCCACAAATCAACATTTGCCTTCATTGGAGTTCTTGCAGGTTTGCATTCCAAGAGACCTGCTTCTTCTAGTAAATCTAGCACATACTTCCTTTGAGACAACAACAGGCCATGTTTTTGATATGCAACTTCAATCCTAAGAAAATACTTTGGCTTTCCCATGTCTTTAGTGATAAAATGACGGTTTAGATATTTCTTAGTCTAAGTTAAGGCAATAGAGTCACTCCCAGTCAGCAGAATATCATTAACATATACGACTAAAATAACCAAACCAGTTATTGTGCGTCGAAGAAAGACAGAGTGATCAGACTGACAACGTTGGAAATCAACATTAGAAATAACCTTGCTGAACTTATCAAACCAAGCTCAAGGACTCTGCTTTAACCTATAGATGGCCTTTCTCAGCCTGCAGATAATATTCTCCCCCTGAGCAACATACCCAGTAGGTTGCTCCATATAAACCTCCTTGTCCAAATCACCATAAAGGAAAGCATTCTTCACATCTAGTTAGTGCATCGCCCAATCCATATTAACAGCTAGAGAGAAAAGAATTCTGATGGAGTTGAGACGAGCAACGGGAGAAAAGGTTTTAAAATAGTCGACGCCATATGTCTGGGTATAGCCTTTTGCAACCAGGCGAGCTTTATAATGGTCAACAGACCCATTGGGGCGATATTTTAGGGTATACACCCATCTGCAACTAACCACAGTCGCTCTAGTAGGAAGAGAAACCAAGTCCCAAGTCCCTCTAGAAAGTAGTGCATTCATTTCCTTATCCATGGCCTGCTTCCAAGCTGGTACTAACATAGCTTCCTCATATGACCTAGGTATAGATACAATGGACAAGGACAAGGCAAACTGACGAAAAGATGGGTTGAGACGGTCATAAGAGACAAAAAGAGATATAGGATATTTCGGGCAAGACCGTTTACCTTTTCGAAGAGCAATAGGGATATCCAAGTCAGAAGGAATAGAGGTCTTAACATAAGATGGACCGACAGCTGGAGATGAAGGTTCAGCAAGACGAGAGTATGTCAGTAGAGGCTTCGGTGCAGGAGCAACAGGAGCAGGTAATGGAATAGTAGTAGGAGCAGAAGAATGTAGTGGTACCTGTGGACAGCCAATAGTAGTGGAACCAGACGAAAAAATATGGGACATACTCAAAAAAGGTAACATCAGCAGACAAAATATTTCCTGATAGACGGATGATAACACTTATATCCTTTTTGAGTACGAGAGTATCCAATAAAAACACATTTGATGGATCTAGATGATAACTTATCCAAACCAGCAGTTAAATCCTGAATAAAACACGTAGAACCAAAGACACGGGGAATCACGAAGAATTATTTTTTATTAGGATAAAGACAATTGAATAGTATTAAACCATCAAGGACAGAGGAAGGCATGCGATTAATCAAATAATTTGCAGTGAGAACAACATCGGACCATAAATACTTTGGAATATTCATATGTATCATCAATGTTCTAGCAACATCTAGAATATGCCTATGCTTCCTCTTAGGAACTCCATTTTGTTGTGAAGTGTGAGAGCAAGAAGTCTGATGAATAATGTCATTAAGAGCACAAAATTTTAAAACATCACTTTTCATATATTCCAAAGCATTATCAGTACGAAGAATACGAACAGAAGTAGAGAACTGAGTTTTTATTTCATTATAAAAGAGTTCAATAACGTGCGAGACCTCTGACCTCTTTTTTAACAGATAAAGCCACGTCATGCGAGAGAAATCATCAACAAAGATAATAAAATATCGAAAATCTTGCACAGAAGGAACACGATAAGGACCCCAGACATCGGAATGAACCAACTCAAAAGCAAAACTACTACGTTTATCGACTCGACTCTGAAAAGTAGCACGATGGTGCTTACCTAGTTCACACGACTCACAACCTAAAGATGAAATAGATGGCTGAACAGAAACTACCGATCTAAGTTTTTGTAGTGAAGGATGACCCAGACGTCAGTGCCACAATAAAGTGGAGTCAGATTGTGATGCAACAAGGTCAGCTTCTGGCACACTGTCGTCCAAATAGTACATACCTCCTCTCTCATGCCCCGAACCAATCTTCATTCCAGTTGCTAGGTCCTGAAAAACACAATAAGATGGAAAGAAGGTGACTTTACAATTATTTTGTTTTGTAAACTTGCTAATGGATAATAGGCTAACAGGGAATTTGGGAACATATAACACATCAGTTAGTTTTAAAGAGGAAGTAGCATGAACTACTCCATCACCACGAACTGAAGAAAGAGTACTATCAGCAATGCGTATAGAATGAAACTTATCAGAAAGATGTAAAGATACAAAGATATCCTTTATACCTATCATATGAGATGATGCTCCAGAATCTAGTACCCAGGGTTTGTGAGAAGAAGCTATGTAAGCATCCATACCTGAAGAGGATGCATGAGTAGCAGAATGAATATTCTGAGAGAGTTCTAGCTGGCGCAACCTCTCATAATCTGCCTGAGAAATCTGAACAGTAGGAGCAGTAACAGCTGGACCACCAGAAGTAGTAGCAGAAATAGATGAGTTAGTCGACTCTGTATCAGCTACCTGGGCCCACTGAGGACGACCAAACTTCTCTCAGCACTTCTCAGAAATATGATTAGTTCTCCCACAATGACCACACTGTCGTGAGCCCTTATTAGATTCACTTTGCCTCCCACCAAACGAACCACGTTCTCCCCCTGAATCACGGCCACGACCACGACCACGACCGCGGCCTTTGCCTCGATTAGAGAACATGGCAGACTGATCCATCGTAGGTGGAGATGGTGTAGTAGTATCAGAAGTAACACCAGTAGAGACCTGCATGACTCTGGAGAATGTAGCAGTCAGTGAGGGAATTGTATCTCCACCCAATATCTGTCCTCTCACTTGGGACTGTAAATTAGGGTTCAACCCAGAAAGAAATTTGGATACTGCCAGATCACGACGATACCCTAATAGCGTCGCTGCATCAGCTACTGCAGGCTGATGCATCTCTAGTTCGTCTATCAGTCCCTTCAATTCACCAAAGAATTCCGGAACTGACTTATCTCCCTGTTTGAGCGCAAACAGTCGTTCATAAATTTCAAATACGCGAGAAACATTCTTCTCGTTCCCGTACATAATCTTTAGGCTGTCCCACATCTCCTTCGCAGTGGTTAAAAACATAACGTTGCTACTGATCTGTGCTTCCATACTGTTGAGAAGCCAAGTCATAACACAATAATCAGATGAGAGCCATGAATTGTAGGTGGGATCCGAGGTTGGTGGTAGAGATGCAAGAAGATGTGGTAGTTTGCTCTGAGCGCCAATGAAGATGCGGAAAGCTTGTGCCCAGAGCAGATAGTTTGCACCATTCAATTTAATAGTAGTCCCCAAGACTACCTTGGGTGCAGAGGTCTCACCAACGACAATAGAAGGAGTAGTAGAGGAGGAGATGTCCGACATCAAAGTAGTAGTTATTTTTTATTTTTGAGCAACAATAGGAGATAAATAGTAGTCAAATAGGCAGATTAGTAGTAGAGATCCGTTTTTGAAACATAAACTAAAAGCAGATCAGGAGCAGGATTAGAGGCAGAGTGGTAGATAGTCATGCCCTCACGCTGCGTAAGCGAGATCACCTGAGGGAGAGAGCCCTGACTTTTGTTTGCACAAAGGCTCAATTTCTATATTCTTGTTTCTCGAAGGAAACAAGAATAAAAGTGAAATATCTCAACAACGTGAGATAGACACTCTTCCTCTCATCAGTTCTGTGACTGAAATGTCGAGGCTTCCTCTCATCAGTTCTATGACTGAAATGTTAAGGGATACAA